TGGCTTGCATAACTGCAAAACAAAAAACAAAAAAACTTGCAAGCATTTTAGGCACATTGAGCAAGGATTGTAGCTCAGGGTGGCTCACAAGTTTCGCATGCAGAAGGTTCAATCCCCAGCATCTCCAGGTGGCGCTGGAAATCCTGCCTGAAATCCTGGAGAGCTGCTTCCGGTCAGTGTAGGAAATACTGGGTTAGATGGAGCAGCGGTTTGACTCCATATAAGGCAGCATCTTATGTTGGGGAAGAGCCATTGCTTTGCATGCAGAAGGTCCTGGGTTCAACGAGAGGTGGACCTCTGACAGCATCTCCAGGAAGGGCTAGGAGAGAGCCCTGCCTGAAATCCTGGAGAGCCGCTGCCAGTCAGTGTAGGCAATAGCAGATTGGGCAGACAAGGGTTTGACCTGGCAAAGGTCAGCTTTTTACCTAAAGCATGTACTTAACCACTGAGCTGTGCTTTCCCCCTGAAAATAACTGAAGACCCCAGTCCTCATTTTTGGCAGAGGGGGGAAAGTGTTGATTTATTTATTTTATAACAATTTTTATTAATTTTCCAATTATAATCCAATGATAGCCTCATTATAACAATGCCAGTTTAAAATACAATTACTGATATCAATCATTCAAATATCAAATTATATAATTTAGATAAGGTGACCCCCACATGCTAGAACTGATGATTCTGATGATTTTCTTTATTTCTGCTTTCCAAAATCTTACTGACATTCCAGTCATAATAATAATCCCTTATACAACAGCTGCAATATTTATAACTTCTATTCGTGTTGACACGTTAAATAATTTATAAGATTACAAGCGAAGATCTCATACTATATCATTGTTCTTCCTGCGTGTGACATTTCTTCTGTCCGTATCGCTTCTTCCCGTCCTTGTAAATTGTTATGCCTATCTTTTGCTACTATCCGTCATACCTTGAGCGGAGCTGATATCCCAATATGTTCCAAAAATTTCTTCCTCACTCAGTCACTCAACTTTAACAATAGCTGCAAAACTCACTGTGTTGATTTAAGCCACAGCATATGAATCTGCGGACGCGGGTGGCGCTGTGGGTTAAACCACAGAGCCTAGGACTTGCCGATCAGAAGGTCAGCGGTTTGAATCCCTGCGACGGGGTGAGCTCCCGTTGCTCGGTCCCTGCTCCCGCCAACCTAGCAGTTTGAAAGCCTGTCGAGTGCAAGTAGATAAATAGGTACCACTCTGGCGGGAAGGTAAACGGCGTTTCCATGTGCTGCTCTGGTTCGCCAGAAGCAGCTTAGTCATGCTGGCCACATGACCCGGAAGCTGTACGCCGGCTCCCTTGGCCAATAAAGCGAGATGAGCGCCGCAACCCCAGAGTCGGTCACGACTGGACCTAATGGTCAGGGGTCCCTTTACCTTTACCTTTTATATGAATCTGCACAATGGCATTGGTTCATTCCAGGTCAAGGGAAGCACTGGGCTATTCTCTATTCTGCCTTGGTCAGACCCCACCTAGAGTCCTGTGCCCAGTTCTGGGTGCCACAATTTCAGGAGGGTATTGACAAGGTGGAACATGTGCAGAGGAGGGAGTTGGGTATGTTTAGCCTGAATAAGAGGAGACTGAGAAAAGATGTGATAGCCATCTTCAACTATCTCAAAGACTGTCACATGAAGGATGGAGCAAGCTTGTTTTCACTTGCTCTGGAGGGGAGAACTCGAATGAATGTATTCAAATGACAGAAAAGAGATTCATGGAAACCATCAGGGAGAGCTTTCTGACATTAAGAGCTGTTCCAACAGTGAAACAAAGTCCTTTGAGAGGCTGTGAACTCTCCTTCCTTGGAGGCTTTTAAGCAGAAGTTGGATGGTCACCTGTCATGGATGCTTTAGCTGAGATTCCCACATCACAAGGGGTTGAACTAGACAGCTGTTGGGCTCCCTTCCAACTCTACAGTTCTATCATTCTTCAGGGTTTCAAGCGGGAGTTTTTCCGAGCCCTACCTGGAGATGTTGAGCATTGACCCTGGGGCCTTCTGCATACCAAGCAAATGCTCTTCCGCTGAGTAATAAGATGCTCTCACATGGGGATAGACCACAACTCCCCTCAGCCAGAATGGCCGCTGGTCAAAGATAATGCATGGTGACAACAAAAACTGGAAGGCACCACATTCACTACCCTCCCAAACTGGGAGTAAGAGGCTAAGGTGGGCTGTCAAGAAGCAGTGGCAAAGGAAGGCTCTCTGGTACCCGGAGCAGGGTGTCAAGGGGAGGGGCAAACCGCCCAGTGGCGCATGAATGGTGCCAATACGGACGGTGCATCCGTGGCACTGATACCAACGACACATGCGTGGTGCCGATACCAACTGCGCCACTGGAGCGCCCATATGGACAGCGTTTGAGCGGCGTCCATATGGACAGTGCTCAAGCGGCGCCCATAACAATGGCGCACACGCACCCACAGCCGCCCTACAGTGAGTGTAGCTCTTGGCCGGCTGCCATTTTGTCAAACCCCTCCCTCAGGCTGACAACCAGGGCGGACCAACCCCCCATCCCCTTCCTACGCCCCCTGTCTAGAAGATATCCCTCCTCTTCTAAGAGGAGAGTTGGCTGTGGGAATAGGGCCACAGCCTCACTTCTGGAAGAGTCTATCTGTGGCTGCCAGCCGTGAGGACTATGCTCTGCCTCCATTTCTGAATCCCAGTTGGTGGAAACCTCAGGAGGGGTGTGGGCTCTTGTGCTCAGGTCCTGCTTGCAGGTTTTCCTTTGGGGGCATCCAGTTCTCAGGCGTTCAGCCTACACTCAAGTAGGACTCTGGCAGAGACACATGCCTGACTGGCATGTTCTCTCCCTCCTGGTCTTTCGTTCGGGACCTTCAGAAGCTTTCTTCAGCCCGAGCATCACAGCGACCGATGCCAACCAACACCGGCACACTTAGGGATCCGCAGAGTTTGCGCATCATGCGTGACAGACCTCAGCAACTCAGCATTTTGGCTAATCTACTTTATTTACATATAAACACACACACGGAGCACTACAACATGGCTCCCTCTCTCTCTAGCATCAGACAGCAAAGAGAAAAAATAACAAAGGACAATAGTCCCACTTCACGAAACACAGTAACACAAACATCCTGTCTTCGTCACTTCCCACTCTGTGGAGTCAAAACATACACCGTCATGTGATTGACATAAATCCCATGACTGCAATCATGGAGCAGAAATTCTAACACCGGTTGGCCACTGTGAGAACAGGATGCTAGGTTTAGATGGGCTATACCCCGATCCCGCAGGGCTCTTCTTATGTGCTCACAGTGCAGTTCAGGGAGGCTTGCCAAAAATAAACAATTTAAAAATATCAGTTGCTTTTGCTGCTTATTCTGGAGCAGCTGATGCGGCTGCGAACTACTTGCAATTTATTTTCTTTTTTAAAGGAGACCCCTGTGGCCAGCAGAGGGAGCTGTAAAGTAACTGTTTCTCCATCCCCACCTGGTTTCCTCATCCTTTCATCCTTCCTTGCCTCGCTTTGCTGCCTCATTTTAAATGGCATTTCTGAAGTTTCCATAGATGTCTAGACACACCCCAGCTTGCTGTGACCGTAATAACCATAAACCCCACCCCTTGTGCCTGGAATTTATTTTCTTTTTTAAAAAAAAAACCTCCAATGTGATTGCTAATATATTAGCAATATATATTGCTAATCACGTTAATGGAAGGTGTAGTTAGCACCCCACCACCACTACCATGTGTAAGTTTTCTTACTGGCATAACAGCTGGTGTGGCTCAATGGCTAAGACAAGGGAAGAGGGCCACTTTCCTTCATGGGGAACAATCTGGGGGGCCACAGGTGGGCTGGGCCAAAGGCAAAAGTGGGGGGAGCAACGAATCAAGGCTACATTCCAGCCACACAAAAGGCAGCGGTTATACACCCTGCTGCCCAGAAGCATTGCCGCAATTCACAGACACATTCCAGCCACATTCCAGTTGCATTTCAAATTGTAAGCTCCTTGCAGCAAGGACCTGCCTCCTCGTTTTCCCTCTGGTCTTTGTTTTATCTTGCACCACCAAGGCACTCAGCACTTTGCCAGCAGGGAAGCCCTCGGCTCAAGTCATTCTTTCCTCCTGGAGTAGGAGAATTATAATACTGGCCTACTTTGCAAAGTCCTTGTAAAGATTGCGGCATATGCAACATAGACTCCAGGGTGCTACTCAGATGCAGCCATAGCATTTCTGTCCTCGAGTTGTGGTGTACAATTCTAGGCTCCTAGAAACATAGGAAGGTGACTTCTCTTGAGCCAGACCACTGGTTCCTCTAGCTCAGTACTATCTGCACTGCTTGGCAGTGGCTCTCCAGATTTTCAGACCCAGAGTCTTTTTCAGCCCTACCTGGAGATGCTAAGGATTGAACTGTCAGGAGTTCAGCCTACACACGAGTAGGACCCTGGTAGAGACACATGCCCGCCTGGCATGTTCCCTCCTTCCTGGTTGATCGCTCGGGAGCTTCAAAAGCTTTCTTCTGGCCGAACATCACAGCGACCGATGCCAACAGACACCGGCACACTTAGGGATCCACAGAGTTTGCGCATCATGTGTAACACACCTCAGCAACTCAGCATTTTGGCTAATCTACTTTATTTACATATAAACACACACAGAGCACTGCAACATGGCTCCCTCTCTCTCTAGCATCAGACAGCAAAGAGAATGAACAAAGGACAGTAGTTCCACTTCAAGGAACACAGTAACACAAACATCCTGTCTCCGTCACTTCCCACTTTGTGGAGTCAAAATATACACCGTCATGTGATAGACAAAAATCCCATGACTGCAATCATGGAGGAGGAATTCGAATATGAACTTGGGGCCTTCTGCATGCAAAACATGTGAGCTATGGCATTTCCCTCAAATGTCATAATAAGATACCAGTCCTCAGGGCTCTGAAGAATCATAGAATCAGGGAATTGTAGAGCTGGAAGGAACTCTGAGGATCATCTAGTCCAGCCCCTGCAATGCAGGAATATGCAGCTGTTCCTTACAAGGATCGAACCTGCAACCTTGGCTTTTTCAGTACCGTGCTCCAACCAGCTGAACTATTGGAAGAAAAAACTGATTAAAACAGAGGCGTAGGAAGCTGCCTTATACCTAGTCAGACCATTGGTTCATTAGCTCACTGTTTCCCAAACTTGGGTCTCCAGCTGTCTTCAGACTACAATTCCCATCATCCCTGACCACTGGTCTTGCTAGCTACAGATAATGGGAGTTGTAGTCCAAAACAGCTGGAGACCCAATATTGCTCAATATTGTCTATAGAGACTGGCAGTGTCTGTCCTGGGCTTCAGACAGGGAATATTCCAAACACTACCTATAGAATTATAGAACTGTAGAGTTGGAAGGGACCCCAAGGGTCATCTAGTCCAACCCCCTGCAATGCAGGAATCTCATTTTTTAAAAATAAATATTTTATTGGTTTTTACCAAAAAAAATCAAAATAATAAAAAGAAACAACTTTTACCATATCCATATTTGAGACCCTCTGAATCTCACGACTTCCCCCTCCCTTGCATGGGTCCTTAAATAATTTTTCTAAAACTACGTTCTACACAGTTTTCATCTCTCTAAATTATCGATATTTACCGTTTCTTTACAAGTCTTTTTTTTAATAATATAAATTTTATTAGCATTTTCCACACAACAACAACACAAAAAATATCGAAAAATAACAATACACAAAACACAAAAACCAACATTCAAAAAACAAAAAAATCCATATCTTACAAGTTAATAATATAAACACTAAAAAGAAAAACAAACATTGACTTCCACCAATCCAACAAGTCATTTTTAAAGTCCAGCTAATATTTTTATTTGTTTACAATGGTCACCAAAGTTCCCCCATTCTTTCTTAAAGTCATTATCTCCTTGATTCCTGAGTCTCCCGGTCACTTTTGCCATTTCCACATAGTCCAGAAGTATGGCTTGCCATTCTTCCTTGGTCGGAACTGTTGGTTCTTTCCATCTTTGGGCTGGTAGCATCCTTGCAGCTGTTGTCTCATACAAAAACAGTCTTTTCTGGTCTTTTGGGTGCAGGACTCTCAATTAAAGCATCCATGCCAGGTGGCCATCTGCAGATGCCAAAGACTTAGCCTGATGCCTTCTGCATGCAGAGCAAGTGTTTTTCCCACAGAGCTTGGGCTGGTGCTCCATGAGTGGTGGCTGAGGTTTGGGGTAGCCCCAGGTCCCCTTGTGTGGGGTAGACCACCCCCATGACACACCCCTTCAGTCCCTGGTGGGGTTTCCTTCTTATCTCCCATCATGATCCTCAACAGCCTTGTCTTTCTGTCCTTTGCAGGTAAGCTGGACATCACCCCCGATGACCCCAGGTGGATTGGCGCATGGTGGGCGGGCTTCTTGCTCTGCGGTGCCTTACTTTTCTTCTCGTCTCTCCCGATGTTTGGATTCCCACAGTCCCTGACCCGCCGGCCAGAGCTCTTGGCAGAGGTCGAGCAGGCCATGCTGCCAGACAGGGACTACGAGAGGCCAAAGCCCAGCAACGGGGTCCTCCCGCGAAACACCTTGGAAGCCCCAGATGACGTCTCCTGCTTCCAGCAGCTGAGAGGTGACACTATCCCCTCGTAGCTCGCCTGGCGTCTGCGGGAGGTGACAGGTCAATGACTGGTTAGATCAGAAGTTGGGGATCCTGAGGGCCGTGAACCTTCCAGGGGCCACATGGCCATGGTGCGTGGGGCCAGAGGCCAGTGGGTGGAGCCATTAATGCAGACTTTACATTTAAGCAGTAGGCTAGTTTCTGCATGTCCTTCTCTGACCTCTCTATCCAGGAAAGCAAGGGCAGGATCGAGAGGTCAGGAGGGCTGCGTTTGCCCCCCAGGCTGGTGGTTCCCCAGTCCTGAATTTGAGCCACTGCCTCCTGTGGGAGTGAGTTCCATAGTTTAACAATGTGCTACATGAAGTCCTTCGTTGCATATTTCTTGAATCAGTGGGCAAACACTGAGCATTTTGGCCGCTGAATCTCCCTCCCACATCCTCCACTGCACTAGGGACGCAGGTGGCGCTGTGGTCTAAACCACTAAGCCTCTTGGGCTTCCTGATCAGAAGGTCGGCAGTTTGAATCCCTGCGATGGAATGAGCTCCCGTTGCTCTGTCCCAGCTCCTGCCAACCTAGCAGTTCAAAAGCACACCAGTGCAAATAGATAAATAGGTACCGCTGTGGCGGGAAGGTAAATGGCTTTTCCGTGCGCTCTGGTTTCCGTCACGGTGTCCCGTTGCACCAGAAGTGGTTTAGTCATGCTGGCCACATGACCCGGAAAGCTGTCTGTGGACAAATGCCTGAAAAGCGAGATGAGTGCTACACCCCATAGTTGCCTTTGACTGGACTTAAGCATCCCGGGGTCCTTTATCTTTCTTACTTTACTGCACTAGAGGGCAGGAGACTAGCTCAAAAGGAAGAGACACAAAGCAGGCTGCCTGGCAGATGCACACGCAAGAAAGACAGGCAAAGAAGCACTTTTTTCACACAGCACGTAGTTAAAACTATGGAACTCCCACAGGAGGCAGTGATGGACACCAACTAGGATGGCCTTCAAAGAGGGTTGGACAAATTCATGGAGGAGAAAACTGTGTTCATCCTCCACTGTTGGAGACAGCAGTGCTTCTGAATACCAGTAGGGAGACTTGCTGATGCCCTCAAGTCCTACTTGGGGGCTTCCTAGAAGCATCTGGATAGCCACCTTGAGAACAGGATGCTGGAATAGACGGACTCCTGATGTGATGCAGCAGCCAAGTTCTCAGCTCTGCCCAGTTACCACCCCTCAATATCTGCCACCTGTCTCACTCTGCTTTATGGTAGAGCCGACCATGACTGCAGATTTAAGTGGACTGCAGACTGCAGATTTAAGCCCTGTGGTACAGCAGGGCTTTTTTAAAAAATGGAGCTCAGATAACCCCTGCTCAGATTGAAAACTGAGATTCCCTAGAGGAACCCAGACTTCCTTTTGCCCTGCAATTTACAGGAATAAGTCCACACTTTAAAAGTCCATGCCCATCTGTTGTCGTTGTTTTTGTCCTGGCACTTTCCGTGGGAAATTCACTGCCAAATTGGAGCAAATGGCAATCCACTGAAAATCCATTTGCTGCAATTCAGTGGTAGGATGTGGGTTTCCTTGGGGAAAATGCTGTGACCAAAAAAAAAAAAGGTCTGTAAGCTTGCAGTCATTAGGAGCTTTGCTGGAAGAGACAGTGAGATGAAGAACCATAAAGAAATATCAGGAATGCATATCAAAGCAGTTTGAGGTTTGAGGCCAGCTCAAAGCATGAGGGGGTTCTAGGAGACCCCCGTCCTCTGCTGGTGGGCCCTGCTGGGGAACTAGAGATAAGCAGTCACTGTAACATCTGCACCCTGAGCAGCCCCAGAGGGCCAAGCCTGCTCTCCAGGATTTCCCAGCAGTGCCCTGATAGAGTGTTGCTTGGGATGTGGGTGGCTCTGTGGTCTGAGCCTCTTGGGCTTGCTGATCGGAAGGTCGGCAGTTCGAATCCACGTGACGGGGTGAGCTCCCGTTGCTCTGTCCCAGCTCCTGCCAACCAACCTAGCAGTTTGAAAACACTCCAGTGCAAGTAGATAAATAGGTACCACTGCGGCGGGAAGGTAAACAGCATTTCCGTGCACTCTGGATTCCGTCACGGTGTCCCGTTGTGCCAGAAGCGGTTTAGTCTTGCTGGCCACATGACCCGGAAAGCTGTCTGTGGACAAATGCCAGCTCCGTTGGCCTGAAAGCGAGATGAGCGCCACAACCCCATAGTCGCCTTTGACTGGACTTAACCATCCAGGGGTCCTTTACCTTTACCTTAACCTTTACCTTTTTACCATGTTAATTTCCAGCAATACCCTGATACAGTTGGAGTGTTGTGGGGGCCCTGAATGACAGAGCCAGGCCAGGGGGGAAAGACATTTTGGGGGAGGGGATGGCATTAATTTTGGGCCCTATTGATGCCTGGGGGGTCCCAGCACAGGCCCACTGTTACTATGTGCCAGCATTGGCCCTGCTGAGTCTAATGAGATGGGTGGAGGGGAACAGTCAGCTTTGAGCTTCCAAGCAGTGAGGTTAGTGTAAAATCTATGATGGGGCAAAAAAAGATTCCTTTGAAGCACAGATGCAGATGGAGAAATCAAATGAAGCGGCTGCTCCTTGATGTTGGGCTTATCTTGATGACAGAACAGTCAGTGTCTTCCACCCCACCCCCACCCCCCCCACCCCCCCCACCCCCCCAAAAAAATTGGTTGGCTAGAACTAGACAAGCAAAAGCTCCCTGGTGATGTCTTGCTGGGCTGCACCATTTCTGACTGCAGGGAGGGTCAAATATCTGAATGTTTCTCTGCAATAAAAACCTAGTGTCTATACATCCTAAACCAGTGTGGTATGGGGCAGGTGAGTCTAAAAACCTTCCTTGCCAGGGGGCTGTTTTGCCCATAGTCACGTCTTGCCACCAGTTCTTGCTCCTGCATTATAAAACTTTGAGCATCTAAAGGAAGAGACGGCAGTCAACCCAGGAGGATATGACAATTGTTTTTCAGACCCAAGAAACAGAAAGCAGAGTGAGAGAGGATGGGATTTGCAAAACGCAGACAGGCCCCGCTGAGGCTTCAGATGCACTTCAGAGAGATAATTTTTCAAACGTCCTGATTTTTCACATGTAGGACTCGCAGAGGAGTTAGTTGCCAGGTATCAAGGCGAGGCGAGGTTCTTTGCAGAACCTCGGCGCACTCCATCTTGCTCAAGCAGGGTTATCTCTGGAATAATTAAAATACTCACCCAAGCAGAACAGGCTCTGCCTGATTCATTAGCTTAAGAAACGCTTTGCAACCAAAGTCTTTCTCGCCTTCTTAGAAACAAAGAGAAACTCCTGCATGAGCTTTGCAGGGGGAGAGTTGGGGCTTAGAGAAGGTTAATTGAAAATGAAAATGGGGATTTCACATACTCACATACGCAGAATGGAGTAATACCGGATGCAACTCTTGACATATTCAACAAAGGGATGACTGGATCTGTCAAATTCAGTTTCTCTTTTTTTCAGTCTTAGTTTCAGGTCTCCACATTTCCAGATCCAGCTATCACCCAGCCCTGCTGTTTGCCTCTACTTAGTTCCATCCTTATTTCATAATATAGCAGTACAGTATATCATGATGCTTAGCTGGTAATACAGTGGTGCCTCACAAGACGAAATTAATCCGTTCTGCGAGTCTCTTCGTCTTGCGATTTTTTCGTCTTGCGAAGCACGGCTATTAGTGGCTTAGCGGCTATTAGCGGCTTAGCGGCTATTAACGGCTTAGCGGCTTAGCGGCTATTAACGGCTTAGCGGCTTTAAGAAAAAGGAAACAAACTCGCAAGAACTCGCAAGACGTTTCGTCTTGCGAAGCAAGCCCATAGGGAAATTCGTCTTGCGGAACGACTCAAAAAACGGAAAACTCTTTCGTCTAGCGAGTTTTTCGTCTTGCGAGGCATTCGTCTTGCGGGGCACCACTGTACCGTATTTTTCGCTCCATAAGAAGCACTTCCCCCCCCCCTTAAAAGCTAAGGGGAAATGTCTGTGCGTCTTATGGAGCGAATGTGTGGTCCCTGGAGCTAAATTGCTGGAGTGCGGCACGCTCCTGAGCCGTTCTTTGGGGCTGGCGGGGGAAACTACGGGTGCTGGCAGAGCAGCCAGGGCTTCCCCCTCCAGCCCCGACAAGCTCTTTTTAAGCCGCACGCAGCCTCCCTGGTTGGGAGAGGCCAGGAGAGGCTGCGCGTGGCTATCCCATAAGCCAGGACAGCCAGTGGGGTTGCAGTGATCCCACTGGCTGTCCTGGCTTCTTGTTTAGCCTCGCGCAGCCTCCCCGGCCGGGAGAGGCTGTACACCGCTATCCCATAAGCCAGGACAGCAAGCGGGATCCCTGTGCAGCGATCCCGCTTGCTGTCCTGGCTTCTGGGATTCAGAATATTTTTTTTCTTGTTTTCCTCTTCCAAAAACTAGGTGCGTCTTATGGTCTGATGCGCCTTATAGAGCGAAGAATACGGTATGTTGCGATGTTGAAAACCAGATATTGTCCAGCCCTAATGCCAGCCAGTATTAACTGTAGATTCACCCTTTCTGGGGGGAATCCAGGAAGTCTTAGCCTGCCAGTTTGCCCTGACATAGCTCAGTTGGTGGAGCATGGTACTCTTAATCTCAGGTTCATAGGTTTGAGCCCCATGTTGGGCAAAAGATTTCTGCAGGGGATGGGACCAGATGATCTTCGTGGTCCCTTCCAACTCTATAATTCTGTGATTTTGCATGGCCATTTCCCCCCCAAACCATGTCCACCTGTCAATCAGCTGACATAACTGGCAAGAGTTCATTTCTCAGCTCGCTAGGCCCACCAGTTCCTCACAGATAGTTCAGTCCTGCTTCGTGAGTGCCTTCCCTGAGGGGGATGTGCCAACAGAGGAGACCTCTCCCTGCCACCCCTGTGGTTCAACTCACCTGTCATCATGGCATCAGATGACTGGCAAGTGAGTGGCCCTGCCCACATTGGCCCATAGAATGAGGTAAGGAATAAAGATCAGACCCACTGGGCCAGACCTCTGCAGCACACACACAAAAAACCTGCTGCCAGCAACCCATTGGGGTACCTCAGTTAACTTCTTAGAAATAAGCCCCAGTTTGGAAGCATCAAGAGATAACCCTGTTTGCCTCCATTGGATAGATGACCTGTCACTGATTTTTAGAGCAATGTTTCCCAGGCTTGGGTCTCCAGCTGTTTTTGGACTACAACTCCCATCATCCCTAGCTAGCAGGACCAGTGGTCAGGGATGATGGGAGTTGTTGTCCAAAAACAGCTAGAGACCCAAGTTTGGGAAAGATTGCTTTAGAGAAAGGCAAGTACCCCTTACCCAGAAACCCAGTAGTTAGTGCAACATTTGGGGCAGAACCAAAGCCTCAAATCTAAACACCCAGAAGTTTAGTGCTACTCATACAGTAATTGATTTCCTGTGTAATATGCTCTGTAGCCCCTAGATGGCCCCATGAGCCTCAAAGCAGTCCAGGTGTGGTTGGATGGCAATGGTATTCTTAGGGAACTCATGTCTGCTTGTGTCGATTTTTCTGTTGAACATCCCCAAAGGGGCTAGCCAAGCCAACGCTGCATAAAGCCATTAGGCTAAATCAATACGAAGTCGTAAGAATAAAGATAAGAATCTTACAAAGAATCTGATTCAAAGTTGGAATAAAGAATGCACAGAATGGGAAATGCCTCGACTTTAGAAAAGGTGCCCTGTGGCAAGTCAAGCCATTGCCTGATTGTGGAGGGAGAAGGCAGACATCATGGGTGCCTGCTTTGCGGAAGGCTGAGCTACTGGTTCTTGGAGTCATAGTTTGAAAACAAAGAAAACATAGTACAGTCATACCTTGGGTTGAAGTAGCTTTGGGATAAGTATTTTCGGGTTGCGTGCTGCTGCGACCCAGAAGTAACAGAGAACGTTACTTCCGGGTTTTGCCACTCACACATGCGCAGTCAAAATGGTGTCACGCGCATGCGCAGAAGTGGCAAATCGCGACCCGCAGATGCGGGTTGCGTTCGCTTCTGGATACGAATGGGGCTCTGGAACGGATCCTGTTCGCATCCAGAGGTACCACTGTACTTCCCACAAGCCTGAAGTCTGTCCAACCCTGGCCTTGAGTGCATTTCCATGAGAGCATAGGAACACCAGAAGACCTCCTTGTCATCTAGTCCAGCACCCTGTTCTCAAACTGGCCACCCAAATGCTAACGGGAAATCTGCAAGGAGGGCCCAAGCACAAGAGCATGCTCCCTGCCTGCAGTTTCCAGCCACATGTATTCAGAAGCATGACTGCCTCTGACCATGGACAGAGGATGTTAACTATAGACCTGTGGCTTGGGAAAGCCAACCACGTGTGCCGAGGCTCAGTCACATGGATCTAGCAACATAAGACCCATGTTACTGAGCCCCGCCAATGTGGTTGGGTCACGTGGAGTGTCCTCCCAGCCACATGGGAGCTGCTTACAGACAACCAGCTGCCCCACAGCTGGGAAAATGTCTTTAGGCAGCCTTCCCTAACCTGGCATCCTCTAAATGTTTTGGACCACAACTCCAATTATCTCCGTTCAGCAAGGTCATTGTGAGCCAAGATGCCTAGAAGCTGGGGAAGACCTTCTTGAGGGCATCTGGGGAAGCTTAGAAGTTGGCCCCCTTTCTGAAGACCCCTTTCCTCTCTTTTCTCTTCTTCAGTGATCCCTAAAGTAACCAAGCACTTGCTCTCCAATCCGGTCTTCACCTGCATTGTCCTTGCTGCGTGCATGGAGATCGCCGTGGTTGCTGGCTTTGCGGCTTTCCTGGGGAAATACCTGGAGCAGCAATTCAATCTCACAACGTCGTCCGCCAACCAGTTATTGGGTGAGTAGCCAGAGCAGGCCGTCGGTTGGGCCATAGTTCTTTTCGGGGTATATTATGGGGTGCCAGATGCTGTGCTGCTTACTCCCATGCCCACATGCACCCCTTGCCTTTGCCATCCCAGGCTTGTAGCAAAAGCTTGGCAGCTCACAAGTCATGCAGGACCAGTCTCATGGCCTTCATAGATGGTTGATACTCGCATAACCCTTTTCACTCTGGTATGAATACAGTGGTACCTTGGTCCTCAAACTTAATCCGTTCCGGAAGTCTGTTCCAAAACCAAAGCATTCCAAAACCAAGACGTGCGTTCCCATAGAAAGTAATGCAAAATGGATTAATCTATTCCAGACTTTTAAAAACAACCCCTAAAACAGCAATTTAACATGAATTATACTATCTGACGAGACCATGGATCCATAAATTGAAAGCAATAATCAATGTACTGTACTATAAAATAAATAAGACAGCATTGTATATGATAAAAAATAAAATTATTTTTTTTCCTTACCTGCACTGATGACAGTCATTGTTTGGATGGGGGGCCTTTATCCATTTCCTCAGTCACACAATCAATCCATCAGTAGCTGAACTGGGTTCCACACAGTCACAAAAAGAAATTAACAGAAAAAGCCTCAAAAACAAAAACGCAAAATAAAGAGCAAAAACAAAAGCACCAGACTTAATCCGTTCTGGAAGTCTGTTTGACTTCCAAAATGTTCAAAAACCAAGGCGCAGCTTCTGATTGGTGGGGGCACCCCGGAAACAATAGCCGACAGCTGCATCAGACGTTCGGCTTCCAAAAAACATTTAAAAACCGAAACACTTACTTCCAGGTTTTCGGCGTTTGGGAACCAAGGCATTTGAAAACCAAGGTACCACTGTACTCAAGTTTGGAACGTAGGTGATTCTCTCTGAGTCAAGAGGACTGTGAAAAATTAAATAAATTGTATGTGTAATGGAATGGGATAGCTTGACCCCAGTTGCTTATGCTCTGGTGTCTTGGCATCTGGACTACTGCAATGCAGTGTACATGGGGCTGCCCTTGAAGATGGTCCAGATGCTGCTGTTATTGCAGAATGGGGCTGCTAGGCTGGTCAGCAAGGCAGCTTGTTGGGACCATGTGCTACCAGTCCTGAAAGCTCTGTGCTGGTTGCCTGTCAGTTACGAGTCCTAATTCAACTGGGGCTGCCTGGTTGGTATTGACCCATGACAGGGCCTTTTCAGTGGTGGTTCCCCACTTGTGGAATGCCCTCTCTTGGTGAGGTGCACTTGTCTTCCTCATTGCTGACTTTCAGGAAGAATAGTGGGAAATTTCTGTCATTTGGTGGCTGGAAAACACTTCCTGGCAACTTCTCACTGTTTGAGAAGATGTTTTTAACTGTTTTGGACTATTTTAAACAACTTTTTAAAATGTTCTTAAAAAGAAGTAGTTTTATTATTGATGTGTTTGGCACCCTGGGCTCCTTCAGGAGAAAGAGTGGAGTATAAACTGAATGAATAGGTAAATAAATAAAACAGCTGCCCCTTCAAATATACTCCAAACAGCCTTGCGAGGAAGGCTGTGCTTTGGGACTGCCCCCATTTCATCCCACCAGCTCTTTGGCTGAGCAGGGATTTGAAGCAGTCCAACCCCATCCTTTCCAAAACATTCTTCCACACCAACTCTCATAGTAAGCTATGCTTTTTGTGTTCCTTTTTATTCATATGCAAATACATATGCAGATTAAATTAATTGACCCAAACTCATGTAATTTATCAACTCTGGTTTCTTTAATCAGGTGCTAGCCTTTCAATTTTGTGCCAAAGGAACCCAACCTCTGAAACAAGAAATTGTCAAAGCCTGAGACCTGCATAAATTAAGCACATGAGACCAAATGGCGAGGTTGCTCTCACTTTGCTTAATGTACCCTGCAATTTTTAATATTTTTTCCTCCACAATTCATCCACACTCTTAGCCCTGGAAATGCTGTTCAGCAACCCGTCTGACTACAGAGCTTTCAGCAAGTCTTGCTGCCAGTTTTTCAAGCATATCTCTGAAAAGTGTAAGGTCTGGGATCTTGCTGTTTTTTTTAAAAAAGACAACCAAGGATCTCACAAAACTGACCTCTGAGTTCTGCATTTTGCAACTTTTCGGCACTTTCATGGAATTATGCCATTCCCCACAATGTGAAAACCAAGGAAAACCAATTCCCTGCAACCTGCAATAGTTATGAACACTTTGCAGAGAGCCAGTGTGTTGTAGTGGTTAGAGTGTCAGACCAGAACCTGGGAGAACAGGGTTCAAATCCCTATTCAGACTAATCTACCTCACAGGGTTGTTGTGCGCATAAAATTGAAGGAGGGGGAGAACCATGTATGTCACCTTGAGCAACTTGGAGGAGAGCCAGAATAGAAATGTCATAATAATAATATTGGGGGGGGGGATTCTTTAGGTTTCGAAAGCTGTGGAGGAGCCTACAAAAAAGCCATTCCACCCTCTCAGTTGCTGCAGTGTTACTCAGCACTACTCACATAATCTCAGTCCTATCATCCAATCCTTAAGGCAGGGGTCAGCAAACATTTTCATCAAGGGGCCGGTCCACTGCTTCTCAGACCTTGTGGGGGGACGGTCTATACCGTAGATTCCAGCGTATTGGGCAAATGGGCGTATAAGATGCCCCCCAACTTTTGCTGTTCAATTTTAGAGTTTTAGAGTTATAGAGTTTGAGCGCCGCCAGGGGCAGAGCACGCCCCCTTCCGCTGCCTCTGCTGTCGCAGCAGCAGCAGCCCGAGGCAAGGCGGGCAGGTGGGTGAGCGCTGCGCTCAGAAGGAC